CAGAACGAAAAAAATTTCATTCATTTTACTTATAATTGATACATGGGTATATTTTAGCATAACAGCATAACTGTCATGAATATCTTTAATTAATCCCCAAAAGGTCACTTTGGTTATTTTGGAATTTCTTCCTCTACTTAAAGAGCATGTTCTTAAAAGAATACCAAGATCCCAGTGGCGCAGGCCTTGTCAACAAAGTGGGTAGGAAACCAACAGTGCCCTGACCTCACAAGACATGTTTTGTCCAGGAAGATGACCAAATGTAAGTGAGCCCAGAGCCTGGGGTTCATGGATCTGTTACAACAACTTAGGGAGGAACAGGGGAGCAAATGGCACAGTTTAGGCATGAAAACTAAGTAACACTGAGTTATGGAAAAGAAAACAAAGATGTGGCCTATAAAGGAAGACAGTGTACAGAGTGCGGGGCTGGGGAGTGTGGCTTTAAAACCTTAAGGACAAACACCCTTCTCTACCTAAAGAGAGAGTGATTTTCTTATGTCATGCAAGAAGGGAGAATTTACACCAGATATGGACTTTTCATGATGATGATCTATAGGATAAAAGTGTGGCAATCACGCTTCATGCCATAATTTCAGCTCATGATTTAGGAGTAAAACCCCAACATTTTAGAAATGGGTTAACATAAAATTACAAAATACTAACACTTAGGGATTCCCTGAAAGAAAATCGAATACCTTCATTTTGCTTAAGGAGAACAAATTTAGGGGTGACTTCAACATCATAAGCAAAAGTATTTTTTTTAATAACTCAAAGTGTGTAAATTTTGATATGTGTGTGAGAAAGAGAGACTCCTGGGATAGCCTCAGGGAGGTGGCAGCATAATACAAACACCACCAGCAGGCGAGGGCATCAGCCCTGAAGTGCACTAGCACACCGAGTGGCCAGCTCATGTTTGTTCCGGGGTAAAACAATTTTGGTTTTATTAATGGGTCCTCTGGCTCAAAACTCAAAACCAGGCCAGACTATTTCAGATTTAAAGCCACAACATTTGATACAGTCCAACATTATAAAGGTTCAAAAGGTAAAAGAAACTTTTTATCCTGACTAAATTCAGAGAGGAATTTAAAACTCAAATTTGAGCACCACTGGTTTCAGGTGGCAACAAGAAGAAAGTTGGATCTCCATGACCGTGAGGTTAGACTGGAGAATCTAATTCGCTGGTACTTATTCATCGTTGTAATTGGATGTTTGACAAAGCCCTGGCTGTTTCTCCACAAATACGATGATAATAACCTGCCTACTCATGGCTTCAGTCTGCAGGGTTTCAAGTGCAGCCCTCACAGGAGACCATGAACCAGCTGCTACCCCAGGTCTAGGCATGCGACAAACCTGCACCACAAGGAGCCTGCAGACTCCGGGGCCACTGCACACGACCATGTGCCCAAGGCCGAATCAGCTCACAGGCCGAGTCCAGAAGCAAGTTTCTGTGGACACTCCCTAGCCTAGGACACTCCCTCTCCTGAGTCTCCGCAGCACTGTGTGCAGTGGTCACCATGTCGAAGCCATTTCCATTTGACTTTATGACATCAGAGCCACCATGGCTAACTTCAGGGAGACCCTCCTGCTCAGTCTACGCTGCCACCGACGGCAGGGAGCTCCCTCGCCTCGACTGGGTGGCGGTGGGACTGTGGGGCTCCGGGCCTCTTGATCTGCTACCAGGAGCTCTGGTGAAGAGATGTCGCCCCTGGAAACTGAGATGCTGATCTCCAGGGAGAGGTCCACAAGCTACAGCTCTCAATCTACAAAGTTCTTCGGGTTCATAAAGCTGGTTAAACAAAGGTCAAGGAGAGAAGAGTGTTAGTTTCTGAGGAGACAACATCTGAATCCTTGCAGCTACCTAAAAAGGGAGAGCCTGGGGCAAGGGACGTGGGATTTAGTGGGATGTCCTCAGCTACCTGCCATGTGCTGCCACCATCCTCTTGAGGGGTAGAGTATCCACTGATCCAAACTTCGTCTCATGGGGCCAATTTAGGGGACACTTAGGCAGCTCTTCTTTGAGAGGGGCTGGGCCATCGAATACAGGTTACCACCAAACCTTCTCTACAAAGGGCCATATGATCTCTGCCATAGTTACTCAACCCTGCTGGTGACACACTAAATGGGCATGGCTGTGTTCCAATAAAACTTTATTTATAAAATCAAGTAGCAGGCCAGCTTTGGGACAGATTTAGCCCAGGGGCCGTAGTTTGCCCACCCCCAATCTAGATGGCTGAATCCAGTCAACGGAGGTAAAATCCAGTGACAAGCTAAACAAGGACTCCATGAACCCACACTGCTTCCGACATTTCTCCCAAATACTCCTCTCTTCCAGAATCAACCTAATCTTTTTCAGCTGAATTGAGTAAGAATGTCTTCAATTGCTTTGGAGATATCAAATATCAAAATTCACAATAGTTCCATATCACTCACAGCCAGGGGAAGGGCAGCATCAATAAGACAAATTGCTTAAAAGCCACTTCAAGGGCAGAGGACCCCAGTATAACCCCACAGGGAGCGAGGTGCCCTCCACACCCAGGATCCTCACCAACAGCAGCCCCACATTCCACAGCACAGCGCCTCCTGGGAAGTCTGTAAAAGAAGCTGCTGGGAAAGCCAGATTTGCAAAGCAGACTGTCAGGCCAAGCAGGCGACCATGTGTTCAGCCGTGGAGTCACCAGTCTCCAAATAAGTACTGTCACTGCTGCTCCAGCCCACACTGTGTCAGAGACAGGCGTTCCCAAGGCCACTCAGCTGCTCCTCTAGAGTGACTGCCCTTGGTGGCCCCGGGGAAGGCAGGCTAGTACCCCACCAACACCTGCACAGAGGCGGCTGGAACGCCCAGATGTCTTGGGAACCAAGCAACACACTCTGCACACGGCTATCTCATCTGAATTGGGAAGAAATGAAGTAGCAATGACAATTCATAACCTGGAAGGTTGCACAGCTCAGTAGAAGGAAGAGCTTTATCTAGAAGCCACAGCCTGCTCAGGCAAAGGCACTTTCAGGCAACCACGCAGGACATAAAAGCCAGTTCAGTCATGACAGGAAGCCAAGGCCTCTCTACTGGCAGCCTCTTCTTTAAGCCTGACGCCACTGCTTCAGGGGAAAGTGATCTGCAAGTCCTCGATTGCCTGGAATTTGAAGTACTATTATTTCAAAATTAAGAATAAATATCCATGGCCCTCACCCAGGCTGATGCTGCCCCAAGGGGAGGAGAAGGGAAGGAGCAGGTGAGGGCCACACGGAGGGAAGGTGGGGCTGAGGAAGAGCCAGGGGCAAGGGGCAGGAAAGGCTGGTCTCCCCAGGACCTTCCGCACCTCTGGCCTGTCCCAAGCTCATGACTGCCACCCCACCCAGCCAAGGACACCTGCCGCAGCATCCACAGAATGAACTGAGGACAAAGGGAGGAAGTGTTTAGCAAGTGGAGCTGGGAAGAGGCACAGAGGCCTTGGGCTTGCTCCAGAGCTCGGAGAGCTGTGCAGGTTCAGACCCTCCCTGTCCCCTCCTTTAATGTTCCAAGTCAGCTCTGGGTCCTGCGTGACAAGGCCAGGGCCTGGTGTCACAGATCTTTGGGAATGCATGGATCACACCCTGGTCTGCTCTCTAACGTCAGGTGGGGCAGGCTAAACACTCCACAGAAAATCAACACTCATACACGTCTCACTGATGGAAGAAAATCTGTCCAGCTAAGATTAAAGGAACGAGGTGTTTCTGTTAATCTTCTGGTCAATTGAAATAAACAAAGGTATTTTACTGAGTCCTTAAATCTTTTTTTAAGTTATTCAACACTGCACGGGTCCACAACATAACAGCAGTCAACACGATCAACACAACATACTGCTTCTTGGACACCAGGACCCAGCTCCTATTTTTAGTATCACACCACCAGTTTTGACATTGGTGATGATGCTACAGAATTTACCCCGATGTAAGGTTGATAAAATAGCTAGACAAATTCTGAGTCTAGGAAGAGATCTTAAGAGTTGATTGTCCATAGATCCATTTCAATTTTTTTTTAAAAAACTCCACTTGCCTCTTTCCCTTAGCAGACAGGCGCAGTCAGAACCTCTCCCGGGTCCACAGCCTCACTGACCCTCTGAGAATGCATTTCCCTCCTTGCCCTGAAGGTGCTGGGGAATGTTTCTGGAGTGTCAAAGATGTCATTCAAAATTAGAAAGGAGAGAGATGGAGATCTAAGCCCAGAACGGAGGCCACCATGGGGGCCTCAGGGGGCTGGAGAGGACCTGAGGGAAGACAGCCCAAGGCGACCCACTTTCTGTATCTATAGACAAATCTGAAGATGTAAACTCTCCTCAGAGTGGCTGACTTTTACTAATTCAGAATGGGTACAAATGGACCAAAATGAAACAAAACCCTCCCAAGAAGGATGGCCAAGCATCTGCTTTGCCCTGACGCCAAGGGAAGGTCACCCTCTTGGCCTGCCCTCCACACAGTGGCCACTGGACCTAAGGCCAGAAGTCAAGGGGTTAATTCTGAGGTGAAGACAGGATGAATTCTCCAGTTTTAGAAAGAAATAAGAGCTATTCCCAGAGGAAAACGATAGCCCTAGTGGCCAGTGGAGACCTGCAGGACCTTTGTTCTGAAGCCATGTGCTGCCCCTCCTGTCCCTTTGCATATCCCATTACCAGAAAATGTTGGTTTGAACAACTCAGGTAATTGGAATATGTCACACACCACACAGACCAGGTCACAGACTCCTAGACACAGCCTGCTGTCCCTAAGCCCTCAGTACCAAAACAGCTCCTGTCTTTTACTGATTATTCAGCTATCAGAACTCCCCAGGTCGCCTCACACAGCTGTCGTGGGGCGCTGGGGTTTCAAAAGGCCGTGATTTTAATGAAACAGCAGCTGAAACGCTATGAACAGACTTTAAAAATAGAGAACCACCATAAAATTTTCATTATAGTTAGATTTAAGTGGATTTCATCATAGCAGTCACAGACACTAAACAAACAGGACGGCGGACGCTGACAGCCTACCTATTCCTGAGTTGGCTCCCGTCACCACAACCACCTTGCCGCTGAAGTCACGGCCCTGCAGGATCTCCATGGCCGTGGTGCTGCCGTCGTACCGCTGTCTGCTGGTCGGCTTCGTGGGATTATCATCCACGGTGAATGCCAGCCTGGGGTCCAAGTAGGTGGTTCTTTTATTTATATGGCTGCAAAGAACAGGAAGCAGCAAGCACCGCAGTGAGCACTCGTGTAAAATAATCTCTCAATCAAGGCGAACCCACCACTCACGGACCAAAAGGCTCATCCTTAGCCCGAAAAACACCAGGGCCTGTTGAACCTCTCCTGGTCTCTGGAAGGATTACAGCGCAGGCTGGAAAGAGGCTCACCAAAGCCCTTCCTTCTGAGCTGCAGAGCACACTACAAAGCACAGTGCCCACACCTCGTACCCTGCATCTCAAAGGAGTCACTAGACAGGTCTGGGGTTTGGCTTCATTCAAGTACATGTGGCCATGAGATCTGTCAGTCACTCTCGTCCATGGATTGCAATTAAATCTCTTTGCCCTGAGCAAGGGCCTCAAAAGCAGATAAGTAGAAAACTCAAATTGATAAAAATTCTTAATACTAAATATGAAACTGACCAACTAATGAAAATCTAAAGGTTTTTATCTTAAGACCACACCCAGGCCTCCTATAAGTATGCTGCTTTTGATGTGGAGTTATCTAAAATTTATATAATATTAAAATATATTGGTAAATATGGATTAGTAAGTTGCTCCTTGTAATAGAATTTATTTTTTACATTTTAAATGTATTCTTGGGATTTAAGATAAAGACCTCAAAACAGCACAAAACTATCTTAAAAACTATTATAAACTCTCCAGAAGTATCTAAAATTTCATGATATAAAATGTATTTGGGTGTATAAAATTACATGGTTGAGGGTTGGGGATATAGCTCAGTGGTAGAGTGCTTGCCTAGCATGTATGAGGCCCTAGGTTCAATCCACAGCCCCAGAAATAAATAAAACACATTTCTTAATTTAAAATCTATACCCATCAACCCAGGAATGTGACCCGTATTACAACCACAGCCTGTCAGGTGAGCACAGTGATCCCAGGGTTACACATGGACCACGGTGCTGCGTGGTGAGGGAGTGACACACGCTGGCTTAGCAGAGCCAAATGTGCATCCTCCCAGCTCCTAAGTGACCTCACCTTGGTAGCCTGAAATTGGCTATGGTCAAAGCATTTGCACCACAGAAACAAACCTGTGCTTTCTTTTCCTTCCACTGAAGAGCTGATTGCTAAACACAAACAGCACTCCACAGCAACAGCTCACAGATGTGAGTTGACAAACCAGGGAGTCAAGGTCCAGCCTGCCTTCAAAGGCCACCACTCTTCTGGAGTAGAATAACAGATGGCAATACAGCCCACCACTTGTTATTATAAATAAAGTTTTATTGGAACACAGCAATGACCATCAATTTTATATCCTCTATGGCATTATAATGGCAGAGCTGAAAAACTCCAACACAAACCATATGATCCCCAAAGCCTAAAACATTATCTGGCCTGTTTCAGAAAGGGAGAAAGTCCCCTCTCTGGAGTAGACCAATGGCTCTCAAGCTACCCTTGGAGAACTCATTAAAGTACAGGTCGCCAAACCCACCCCCAGAGCTGGAATCGGGTTAAGGGAAGTTCCCAGGAGACGCTGATGCTGCTGATCCAGGAACTATGCTTAGGAAACGCTGCCCCAGGTCACTTACAATTAAACAATTTAAGGGAAATAACTCTCCCAGCACACATGTAAAGGCAGAAACTACATAACATTTAAAAACCTCCACCATTAATTTTTTAAAAGCCAACAAAGTTAAAAGAAAAATTTGGAAAAAAAAATTGCAACATACAACCAAAGGGTTGGTATGCTTCATTTGTTGAGGAAAAAGACTAATAAGTCAAGAAGGAAGAAGTCTTTTATAAACTAACAGGCATCAACATCCCGCCTGCCCAGCTTGTCAGCGCCTCTCGGGGGCTGCCTGTGCAGCTCAGAGACCCCTTGAGCAAGCCATGGCCCATTTGCTCCCAATTCTGGCAATGCACCAAAAGTTCACGTATTTGTTCAAAAACCACTTATGCCACTTGTTACTATAATTACGTTACCTAATGAACTATTATAACACAAACTGATAATGAGAGATGAAAACAAAGTGCCCCTGTAACTATGAAGATCTGGCTGAGTGCCTGGGAGAGCCTCAAAGGCAGGTAGCTAAGAAGAGGCTTTGGTTCAGTCAGATACAGTGGAAACACTAGAAATAGGCCATGAAATTCCAGAAAAGATGCAGCATTCAGAATTTCTGAAAAGTAAGTTTTTGGTCAACTTTAAAAAAAGTGAAAATAGAAACTGTAGATGCTTTATTCCAGGTGTGATTGGGAAAGGAAGATTACCTGCAATCCATAAGGCAGACTATACATACGAAGAGCAGGCCCAGCTGACCCCAGAGTGTTTGTGTTACACACATAGCTCCTAAAAACAACTATTATTCCTGTGCAGGTGTGGCTCAGGGTAGAGCCCTTGCCCAGTACACACAAGGCCCTGGTTTCAATCCCTGACTAAAAAAAAAAAAAAAAAAAATTCCTGCTTAAATCAATCTGTTAACCAACCTATTCTAATCTGGCAAATGCACAACCTTGAACATTAAACATTGACAGTCAGGAAACACCCCCTCTGTCTTAGTTAACTTTTTTACTGCTGTGTCTAAAGGTCCTGACCAACACAATTGAAGAGGAGGGCTCAGGGTTTCAGAGGTCTTAGTCCATAGAAGGCCAGCTCCATTTCTCAGGACTTGAGGTGAGGCAGAACATCATAGAGGAAGAGTGCGGCAGAAAGAAGTAGCTTATGTGGTGATCAGGAAGCAGAGAGACTCCACTCACTAGATACAAATATATACCCCAAAGCCACACCCAATTCCCACCTCCTCCAGCCACACCCTACCACTTAAATTACCACCAGTTAATCCCTATCAGGGGTTTAACTCACTGATTTGGTTAAGGCTCTCACAACCCAATCATTTCTTCTCTGAATCTTCTTGCAACTGCTTACATGTGAGCTTTTGGGGGACACCTCACATCCAAACCATAATACCCTCTTAACTACAGGGGCTGAGAGTACAGATATAGAAATACAGATGATGAGAGATACACCTCACTCAGGGGTGTGCCAGACAGGTGGTTACCATTGTTCACTGTTCAAATTTAAAGAGAGAGATGTGAAAAGGGTTACAGATAAGGATACTTAAAAAATAATTATAGATTCCTAATAATAGAAATTTAACATCAATGCCCAATGGGCAATTTGATCAAATTAGAGTATATGTGTACAAAATAATACTCTAGAGCCATAAAATATTCTCTTTAAAAATATATAAGGATATGAGAAAAAGATCATAATATGTTATGTGGAAAAAGCAGGTTATTAAACCATTCACTTGGTGCATTTCCTAGGTGAAGAAAGCACAGGCAAACAGACTGGAAGGAGGTGGAAGAATGATCCCAGAACTATTCAAAGTCGTTACTCCTGCTGCTATGATTACAGGTACATACCACTGCAGATTTTTCTAAGGTCAATGTGTATTACTTTTATAATTAAAAATTCCTATTAAAAAGTAAAGCAGCCAACAATAGTTTCTATGTACACACTTACTCAACAAAAAACACTTGTCCGTTCTCATCGGTTTCTTGTTCCCATCCATATGGCAAATCTGAAACAGGAAAGACGGACAGGTCTGTGAGTGCCATGGGACCTGAAGCCCCTTCCCCAGCTCAGGAGGAGGAGGTGCCGTGCCCACCAGCCCTGCCCCTAAGCCCACCCCTCCGGACAGGCAGCCGCTGCTCCAAGCAGCTGCAGAAGGCCCACGGCCCCAGCTGCATCCCACACATCTGCCTCTTGTTTCATTCTCAATCATTCTAAAATGCTCTGTCCAGGCCTGATTTAGGGGAATCTTCCACGTTGCTTGGATCAGTGTGAACTCCCCCCTGAGTAAGCTCAGAGATGCCTCAGTGGGCGCGGCAGGCACCCAACACCACTGTCCGCTATGCCCGCTGCCTCGTGTGAGGTCACAGGGCAGCTCTGACTTCCTGTCATTGCCTCAGGTGGACCCTAAGCCCCTAAGAGCAAGGAACTTCTTATGCTTCTTTTTCTTCTTCTTTTTGTTTTTTTTTTTTTTTCATTCTTATATGTCTATTCCAAGCATCCAAAAATCATGGTGATCTTTATGGAATTCCATAAAGTACTGATATGCTTAATTCCATAGTATAAACCAAGAGCTATTTTACCAACAGTGCAGCTTTGGAAAACCTAATAAGCCATGAGCCAAAGGCCCCAATCATTTTAATACTTTTTTGTTTAAGAGCAGTAAGAAATCATCTCCTCCACCCCAGACCTTATCACCTCCTTCTGCCAAATGCCACAGGCTCTCAGAGTAGAGTCATCTAGTTCCTTAATGGTTCTCCACCACAGCCTTCCCCAAATGACACAGCAACCTGTGACCACGCTGTCCGTGACATTTTCCCAACATAATTAATGTTTCAAATACAAGATTCTCTCCTTTGGCAACAACATACAAACCTCCTGCTACTCGTTTTCTTTTTCCAGTTTTCGGATGCTCCCATTGAGTCTTCTCCTCAGTGTGACTGTTAAAAAAAAAAAAAAATCCACAATACTATAAACAAAAATTAACATTTCTAAGCAATAATAAATTGTATTAAAGTTGTTCTCTTCCAGATAACGCCCTCTCAAGAGTAATGAAAACAAACTCTCAGAAAAGAAACAAGCAGAACATAAATCTTACAGCTTGCATTCCTGGCTGCAGAAGCAATCCTGCAGGAATGTTCTGAGTCACCTTCTAGGCCAGGTGGGGGTAGAGGAGAGGAGGAGGAGGAGGAGGAGGAGGACCAGGCCATCAGCTGGGGGGCAACTTCAGAAAGCTCTACAAATCACCCAGAATATCCAGAGAAGAGTTCCGTTTTGTATTTCTTTTAGTTTTAGTCCAGGATATAATAATAAAAGTCATAATGCCTAATTTATAATGTGGATATTTTAATATAATTGAATATGCTAATCTTCTTAAAATGTGCATTCTTTCCACAGATAAAACTTTCAAGTGTTTCATTAACAGCTATTCCTAAATGTCCCGAGAGGCAGTTGAGAATGTAGTGAACTGGCCCCACAGGCACCTAGTGCGCACCTTTGGTCAAGTTATTCTACCTCTTACCTCCATTTTCTCATCTGCAAAATGGAAACAATTCTAGTACTGATCCCAGGGGGCTGCTCTGAGGACACTGCATATAAAGGAGTTTTACATAGTACCTGGCATATAAGAAGTTCTCAAAATTGCAAGCCATTATTCTAAACAAACCAATTATACAAACTGGCCTGATTCCCACTCCAAACTTTGCACATTATCTCAGAACAACATATAATCATAAATAAAACAGCTGAGGCTAGGGCTCAGTGGCAGAGCGCTTGCCTAGCTTGCTCGATTCTCAGCACCACATACAAATAAACAAATAAAATAAACATACAACAAAATAAATAAATAAATAACACAGTGGGCCAATAGCTAGCAACATCTGTCATCAGGTGACAAGGCATCCAGGAACACAAGCCACTTCACAAGGGACACAGCCAGAGGTGGTGGGAGGCACTCGAAGGCTAAGAAAGTGGACTTCCTAAAAGGCCACATATTCTTGCAAAATATAAAACAGTGTTAATCAGTGACACCCAGACAATAAAACGTGGACACATCTTCCTTATGTTGAAGAAAATAAGTATAGAGCATGAACTTTCTGGAAAATTTTGCAAGTCACAAGCAAGGGCTGTCTTTTCATTTGTAGTCATTTTTACAAATTCCTAGCAGCTGGGCCTCTGCCCCAGGGGAGGGATCCAGGACCCCCAGGCAGAATGACCAGGACTGGCTGTGGTCAGCCATGTGGGGCTCCTCCACGCCTGCCTCCCTGAGCCGCTGGCAAGGTGAGGCACGCATCCTGGATGCATCCTGGACAGGGCTGGAGCCTGATCACATCACCGTACAAGCAAGCAGTGTCAGTGGCGAAGGTAACCCCCTCCATGTCAGCCACAGCCAAATCCGATCACAAAACAGAAGCTCCGACTCCCTCCAAAGCATAACCCACCCACTCCTCTCGGCCGAGGGGGAGCAGCAGTAAAGCCACTCCTGCTCATCCTTGCCAACTGAAGGGTGGTCACTGGCTAAGCCGAACACGGAGCAGCATCCAACACCCCTGCTCCTCACTTCACCAGGCGAGCACTTCTTCAAGGTAAGAGATGTGGTCTTTGGCTTGAAGTGCAAAGTCATCTTGGTCTCCTGGGCTCACATCAGATGAGTTTGCAGTCTAGTTCCCAAGAAGTCTGCACTCAAGAAAGTGACTTCTAGCCAGGTGCAGTGGCACACATCTGTAACCTCAGAGACTTGGGAGGCCCAGGAGGAGGACCACAAGATCAAAGCCAGCCTGGGCACTTTAGTGAGAACCTGTCTCTAAATTCTAAAAACTGCAGTAAAGGTCCCGGGATGTGGCTCAGTGGTAAAGGGTTCCTGGGTTCAGTTATTCCCAGCACTGCAAACGACAAAGCAAGAAGATGACCCCTAACAGCAGAACACCAGGCCCGGGAGCAGGCAAGCCAGAGGGCCCCTGGCCCGCACAGCCCTGCTGCCCCACAGCAGGCCCAAGTGCAGACACACAACGATTACAGACTTTCCAGAGCAGACACAGACTCACTCAGAACTTTTTTTTATATATTCTGAAAAACATTTTAAAAACAGAAGAAACTGCCCATCTGTGTTCTTGACGGTGACAGAAACTGTTCAAACCAAGGTTTCTGACCCTCAGCACTACTGACGTCTGGGACCGGGTGATTCCTTGGTGGGGTCCGTCCTGTGCATCCCTGGCCTCTACTCACTAGGTGCCCATACACCAGTCCCCACAGCTGTGGCAAAAGAAAGTGTCCCCAGACATTGCCCATCGTCTAGGGCAGGACACAACTGTCCCTGGTGGAGAGTCCAGGCCTGAGTGGAGACGGTGGACTCTGGGAGGGAAGGTGCTGCAGCCTGAAGGCCACCTGTCCTGCTTTTCCCACCCGCATGCCTTGGAGCAGCTCTCCAGCTCCCTGTGCCTTGACTTCCTCATCGGTGCCACGGGGACAGGAAGAGCAGCGCTGCCCGGGTTACACAGAACTCATGAGTTAACATGCCCAGCCAAGGACCGCGCCTTCCAACACAAGGATTAGCTTAAGTAAATGCTTATATACGAAAATTAATTAAAAGTATTCTTTTTAGTTATGACCTTAAATGACTTTTTAATGAAGAGAAAATCACGACACATGTCCCCCAAGTGTTATCTTATTCCCCTTAAACAGAAGCCCTCCGTTTTTCCTTTCAGGAACCTTTCTGTCATTTAAAGAGATAATTAACAGTAATCTTAACTTAAACCAAGGGATCAAAATTAAATTTATATCACATTATGTGAATTCCACTTCTAAGTGCGCTCTTCTAAAGCATCAGCTGTGAAAGCAGAGTTGAAGTTAGCACAGAGACCTGGAGTGGACCGTGAGGACAGCCACCCTGGGCACAAGGGTACCATCTCCTGGGGGAGCTGGCCATCTCTCCAGGCTTCATAGGAAAAGGGGACGGGGAGGAAGACTCAGGAAGGCCCTAGCAACTACAGTGACAGACAGGACACTGAGTCTTTGCCCCTCCTACCCCATCTCCCAAAGGGGCTGCTCTGAGATGCTGGGGGAGGGTGTAGGTCTGCCAGCTCTGCGGCTGAGGTCAGCCTTCAGTAGTGGGTCGTCCTAGAGGACCCCACCCACCCCACCCCCAGGTTGGTAGGCTTTGGAGCCATGTGACCTGTACCTCTGAGGTCTTCAAGTGCACTGTGGGGACACACTGGCCCAGGGGCACCCACGTAACTGGACAGTGCTGCAGCTACAAAAGGGAAATTCCACAGACCCTAGGGTCTATTTTTTTTTTTTAATGGACACAATATATTTATTTTTATTTATTTATTTTTTACTGGTGCTGAGGATCAAACCCAAGCCCCACGTGTGCGAGGCAAGTGCTCTGCCACTGAGCCACAGCCACAGCCAAAGACCCCAAGACCCTACAATCTCTGTCCTTGGGCATGACCTTGCTGCAGTGGAGAAAGAATATCTGGAAAAAGGAATAAATTGAAGGGTGGTTTGAGAGCCTGTTAGCAAAGTTTGCCAAACTCCCAAGAGAAGACAAGTGTCACTTCCAGAGTTATGAGGGAAAAGCAAGGCCAGGGGGCCTGCAGGTCAGGAGAGATCAAGAGGGTGGCTGAATTATGAACAGTTAGAAGGATCTGTCAGCCTATGAGCCAAAGAACAAAGGGCCTGCAGAACTGGAGGGAGGGTCAGCAGAGACACCAGCCAGCCTGGTCCCCAGAGTCATGGTAATAGTGGGGCCAGACAGGCTAGAGTGAGACCAAAGACACTGCTGCAGGTCAGAGGAAGGACTTACGCCAGTCATACACACGAGTCCCCAGGAAGGAAGCAGTTGGGGAAAGCCAAGCCACATGAAGTAAAGTAGGTGGGGAGGCAGAACCAGCCTGAGAAGGAAGGCCCTAGGCCCTAACTTGAGAAGCAGCAGGGGAACGTGGCCAGATGAGAACAGAGGAGGAAGGCAGAGGAGGGAGGCAGAGGAGGGAGGCAGAAGAGGTCTCAGAAAGCCAGGAGCAGGTCAGGGCATCTGTGCCTCGGGGTCTAGTACGCCAGCTGCCCACGGGTCCCTAGTTAACCTTCACTATTCATTCCACGTGCTTCTGTTGCCCTACAGCTTCTGGGTACTGGGTGCTGGGGAGACTAGTAGACAAGCGAGGCCTGCACTGCAGAGGGACACAGAGCACAAACAGGAAGAAACCTGCAAATGACACTGAGGACCCAGAAGCAGATCCCCAAAGAGATGGGTGCAGGGGTGGGGCACCCAGGCAGGGAAGGTCTCTGGGGCAGTGAGTGACATTTAGGCTCAGCTCTGAGGGAGGAGAGGAGCACAGTGCACACATCCTCAGGCTCAGGGGCCAGGCCTCCTACACTGCTGAAGCATTCTCTGCGGCTAGAATTGTCCCTTTCATTCTCCCAAGCCTCAATTCTTCTAAAGACGCAATCCGAAAGTGGTGTCTTGGCTCCAAACCTGCAGTGGACCTGAGCCTGGCAACAGAGCCCCATCTCCTCAGCAAGGTGCAGAAGGGCCTCCCTCACCTGGGTCTTTCCTCCCTGCCTCAGTGTAAACACACCTGCTCAGGCGTGGCCTGTGGTCTCCATGCACTGTCTCTGCCCTGGCTGCCCTCCTGCCCACTTCATCCACCTTCTTCTTCTGGGTCCTAGGATGCCTCCCTAACGTGCCCCCACCTACCAGCTTGCCTCTCATTGTAGACAGGCTGCCACTCAGCACACGCACGGTGTTCGGACTAACATGTCAGTCTATTCAATAACACTGAGCACAGCTGATGACAACTGGGTTGTGCACATTGGCATATACCTGTAACCCCAGCTCCTTGGGAGGCTGAAACAGGAAGATCACAAGTTTGAAGCCAGCTTGGGCAATTCAGTGAGACCCTGTCTCAAAATAACAAAAAGGGCTGAGGATGTAGCCTCCAGATTCAATCCTCAGTACCCTCTCCCACCCTCCGCCTGAAAAAAAAAAATAACCAAGTCTTACTATCATAGTGCCCGAGCTTGAGGCCTGACACATAGAATCTCTATAAGATCACGAGAGGGTTTTTTTTTTTTGAGTTTTTTTGTTTTGTTTTGTTTTGTTTGTTTGTTTGTTTTCTTTCTTTCTTTCTACCTGGCCACCATAACTGCAGCAGTCACAACTTTGGGCCTTGGGTAGATCAGAATGACCAAAAATATTTCAGCCTACCTATCAACCTACATTTGGGGAGAAGGGAGGGCCCAAACTAATTAACTCAATTTGGGGAGGTGGGGGACCCAAGAAAAAAATTTTATCTTAAATGAAAATTATAGTGTTCATACTAATTTGTTTCTAAAAGCCAGGTAATAATCCACTCATCTGGAAAACTTAAAAAAAAAAAAAAATAGACTCCCCAAGTGGAGAGTCTGAAGCAACAGGTTCTCTACAGAGATCTAATGTCTGCATTTAAGACATTTAAGACACATCAGGCTGAAAAGACAGAGATAGCTGTGGCTCCCAACACATCTAAAAGAGTAAGTGACTGAACATTAGGTGTTTTATGCACACTGCCTCAAAGGGCCCTTCTATCAATCCATTTTACAGATGAGAAAACAAGCTGAATTCTTACAATGACTCAAAGTCACAGAGTGATGGAAAAAGGGTCTACTAGGGTACCCAATAATGAAGTTATATACATCATTTGTTTGTAGGAAAATACATATTCCTAGGCCTTCAAACCCCCAAGGAGAGAGCTGGGCTTGTGCATATTTTAAAATTCCTTTCTCTCTGGGGGAACTGTCATCACCGCACCGTGCAGTGCTGCCTCCTGAACAGCAGAGGGCGCGCCTGGCCGCTGCCAGGTGACCCCGCTTGACCCAGAGCCCACAAAGGGGCCGGCTCCTTCTGGGGGACCCTCCAGCCTCTGTCAATCGCTGTCAGTTAGCACCGCCCTCGCCATGACGGGAGGCGCAGCCCCCCCGAGAGCGAGGCCGTAGGGTTCTAGGTTCGACCCATCCAGGTGCGTCCCAGGCCCAGCGGCCCCACTGCGGCCCCCTTACTTGGCATAGTAAACCCAGCCGTCCTTGGTGGTTCTCTCTTCCCAGCCCGGGGGCAGCTCATCCTCGCTGTCCGTGTCGTCCAGGCCCGCGTAGCGCAGGGCTGCCATGGCGGATAGAGGAGGCGCTAGCCCGCTAGCCCGCTCGCGCGCCGCCGATCTCCTCTCCCAGGAACTCACTCCCGCTTCAACCGAGCGCCGCGCGCGCCGGGGCCCGACCGCTCGCGCCTGCGCACCGCGCAGCCCAGAGCCGCACAGCCTGATCCGTAAATGTACTCCAGTCTCCTGGGTTTTGCAGCTCCCGACATAAAAGGGGAGGAGCCTAGGAAGACCACCAGAGAAAGCGTGAAGGAGACTGCGCTGCATCTCGGCTAGAAGTAAAGCCCGGAGAAGGCTGCGTAGTTCAGAGACGGGGCGGAGTTTCTTCGCTCTGCGGGAGGCAAGGAAGGGGCGTGCTCATCCAGTCACGGTTCAGGACTCCGCCCGTTGCTGGGCGACCTGTAACACTTCCGCGTGGTTCTAGCCAATCCTGCAGGAGCCCCAGCAATTGCGCATCCTGGGAAATGTAGTTTAGGCCCAACCGGAATAGAAAGTGGAGCAGAAAAGAAGGATTCTAATAGGGAAGTCCTGGACTCCAGCCCCTCCTTATTTTAAGGCCTCAGGAAGAGTAAACATTCCTGACTAAAAACCATCCAATTGCCCTCATTCGGGCTGATTCACAAATTTTGCTGTGCATAGAAAAGTGGCATTACAAACTTGGAAAATTTAAATTACAAATTCTCACGCCTCCTAATTCCCTAGTCCTGCAGAAGAACCTTCCATCCATAGTGTGCTTCTGTTGATAATAATCGGTAACGTTTATGGATCCATTAAGGGATGGTGGCATGGTGGCCAGGAATTCATAGGCTCTCTCTTGCACATATCCGACACCTCTGTGACGTGGACTCACTTCAGAAGGATAAGTAACTACCCAAAGGACCACGGAAGAACAGAATCAGGTAATTCCGGCAAGTTCAGACCCCATTGCTACATTCCAGTTAGTTACTTATCTGTAAACTTGCAACTAATCTGACAGAGCACCACATCTTATGCTTCCTTTATTCACTACCACTTGGACAAATGCTAGGTTTATTAAATTAACAAATGAAAATATGATTTTTAGATTTAGCCCTCTGTGAATTGAACTAATTAAAAGCAAAATTTCCAAATGTATGAAGCAGACTGCCTTATGTCATCTCTGAACACCTGATGAGCATACTATCTATAAACGTCCTGTACTGAAAACCAAGAGCATATCTTCAACTTGACCTTCAACAATGTTGCTTTTTATGTTCCAGTCCTAATATTGATTCTTACTGTAGGAGTCCTAGTTAGCATACTCTTGAGGGAGACACACTTTCCTGAACAGGCTCAGCCAAAAGCTAAAGTATTGAAAGCACCTTTTAGTGTGACCAGGCTTGCTGTCCCAGCTTGAACTTATCATCACATGAATTTTCTCAATTTACATCTGCTGCTCTGCTGGGAGCCATTAGTCAAGTAGGTATGACAATTTCCTTGCCAGCGTACCCCATGTTGCTGACATGTTGCAGTGACATTGAATGTACGTGACCTTGCTCAAGGACCAAGGCAGATTAGGGTGTTCCCGGTTTTAAGATAATCGTGTTTAGGGCGTTCCCAGTTTAGGTTCCAGGTTTAAGGTTTAAGATTATTCCTGCTGGGAATAGGGCGTATCCTGCTGCCTGAGTTCCCCTTGAGTTCTCACGGGATTCAGACAGTATATTTTGGAGATAGAAGCCCAGTGGAGGTGGATTTGGGCAGAGAACGTGGATTTCCCCAGAACGTGATTGTAGACGGCTGGTGTGAGTTCGGGAATAAAGAGTTGCTGTTTGAATCTACAAGCTGTGTGGTGGCTCGTGATTGTGTGCCCAGCCAGACTGCGGCATTTGTGCCCAGCCAGACTGCGGCACTGCTCCTCGGCTTACCTCTAGTCAGTCCCTTTCACCTGTCACCTAAGACCATTTAATCCTTTGCTATGAGTAGAAAATTGGCTCACAAAGTCCCCTGATTGCAATTTATACTTAAATTGATTGGCCTCAGTTTCCCCAACCATCTGTGGTCTCTGTTCAAGCAGTGACTTCTTAGATTGCTCTTGGGTTGCACAGGTCAGAGCCCCTGCTGGCACCACTTTCCTGTTGAAGCCAGAATTAGACAGGCAGTCAGCGTAGATGGGTACATCGAGTCAGGTTGGATCAAGGAGGCCAATTTTGAGTAATCCCGGCAAATAGGAGACTGTCCCCTAAGGGATTGAAACGTTAATTCCTTGAGAGCCCTTCTGCCACCCTTATCAAGAACCAGACCCTGCTCCAACCTGTTAACAGGATAATCTGTCCCAGGAATTTTCCCTCCCTATAGGGAGCTATAAAGTTGTTAATTAATGTGTCCTGGGCTGTACCATCCTGCCCTTCCCCCTTCAGCCCACCTGTTTCCCACCTTTTGGCCACCCCATGGGGCATTCCTGGGCCTAGTCACATAAGCAGGAAGGAGAAAGATAATGGGGAAAGGCAGGGGGACAAAGGAAGCCTAGGACATATAAAAAGGGCAGAACACTTTACTTCTTGGGATACCAGGATACCAGCTATGGCCTCCAAGCTTTATATGCTTGCCTCAGCGTGCTCCTCTAATGTTCAAACTTCAACATGTGGGGAAGCAGTACTTGTCATCGGTATCACTGTGACTGGGCAATGGATAATCCCATATGATGTCCTCCAAAATGGGTAGTGGTCTCTCTGGAAGAGTTCTAAACTTCGGGGTCAACCCTCTGTTGTCCCTGTTATCATGATCAGTTCCCTGCAGGGCTTCTCCTGTCATTGATGCCAGAGTTTCTTGGGGACTGTCTGTGCACTGTGAGGTGTCTAGCAGCATTTTTATACCTCCACCCACTAGATGCCAGCAGCATCCCACATCCCAGTTGTGACATCAAAAATACCTCCAGAAGTTGCCAATTTGGACCCAGTTAAGAACCACAGATCTACTGAAACCTGCAGATTTCAGGATTTCTAGTCTTTGGCTTCAGTTCAACACACTGTTTTAGTCAGGCTCATCTGATTCCAAGGAGAAGACACTGATTCAGAACAAGGGTTGATGGTCAGAATTCACAAGAACTGAACTGGAAACCCAAGAACAGGTCTATGATTTTTTCTCTTGTGGTTTTGTCACCAAATAGGGGTCTGAGGAGGTCCCCCAGAAGGGAGAAGGGGATTTCAACTCATCCCTGGCAGGTTCTTGACTTATGCCCCAGAAATGAACTTCAGGATGCATCAAAACAGGCACAAAGATTAATTAGGAAAGCAAGGAGATTTGTTCAGAATTTGTAAACAGTGAGCATGGGAAGTATGGGGAGGTGCCCTCAGGCTGGTGAGCTCAGCAGTCTTCACTATGGAGCCCAGGGTAGCTTAAGGAGATCCGGTTTTTTAGGATCTCCAGATGGTCATCACCCAGTCAACAGAAAGCATTTGGAATACGCTCGTAAGTAAGTGTCTAACAATATTTTCCCTTGGCTTTATTTAGACTAAAGAAAATGTGTCACATAAGCTAGCAACGTGTGTAGGCGTTAATCATATAGACTCATGATACTCTAAAATTCATGCATCTATTAAGAACTTGTATCTGGAGGAAAACAGGCCTGGGGAGTAAAACTGAGGGTGCTCATGGCGCGCTTCTTAGATTTAGAATTACAGTTTCTAGCCAGGAGCAGTGGTGCACGCCTGTAATCCCAGCAGCTTGGGAGGCTGAGGCAGGAGAATCACAAGTTCAAAGCCAACCGCAGCAACTTAGTGAGTCCCTAAGCAACTTATTGAGACCCTGTCTCAAAATAAAAAATAAAACGGGCTGGGGGCGTAGCTCTGTGTTTAAGGGCCTCCTTCACAGTTAGTCCCCCTTTCCAGCTAACTCTATTTCCTCTACCCCACCCCACTTCCATGGTCTGGGGCATCATGTCCCCACCACTCCAGCCACCAGCCCCAGACTACTGTTCTGCTATCTCTTTACTGGCTTCCTCTCTTGGCCATGCTTGCCGGCCTCCTGCAGGTTACCTTGCTCCTGGCTTTGACTTTGCTCTAGTAAGAATCTGTCAGCAGGCCAGCCTTACTTACCTGGTTAATAAGATTATAATGGGTTTGAGAAACATTCAGCTTGGGCATAAACCAAGGTCCACGAAATGCAACCCTAAGGAAAAAAAAAAAAACCTCAAGAATGATTTGCTTCTGTAAGATCAACTGAATCACAATGATTCCTAGTAAGGAAACTTTAAAAAACAACCATGTGGTTGCCCAGCTCCACACCAGATGGCCCTCTCCGCCTACGATTTTGAAGGCTAATGCCCAGTTCTCAGCAAGGATTTCGACATTCAAACTTTTTTTCTTTCTTTCTTTCTTTCTTTCCTTCCTTCCTTCCTTCCTTCCTTCCTTCCTTCCTTCCTTCCTTCCTTCCTCCTTCCCTCCCTCCCTTCCTTCCTTCCTACCTTTCTCTGATTACTTCCTTAATAAATATGTTGCAGAATTTGCTTCTTTACGATCTTGTTGAATGGGATTTGGCATCATTCAAAATACCTATGCAGGGGGCACGAGTTTCAGTGTGAGGCTCCTGGAGCTGCCATTCTTGAGTTGGTCATGACCATGACGACTGTCCTTTCCTGCCCCCTCCACCCACACACAGCACCCCAACAACTCTGCAAACCTGCTTCGACTGATATCATCATTCCTTCCAAAATGAGGCTTGACGTTTGGTGCCAAGCTCTGCATACTAATGGAATCTGGGAAGCTTCCAGGGTGGGTCTTATAAAATGCAGGGGGTGGGGGTGACAAGTAAGGGAGAATTCTGGGGAAACGCTCTCCTGGTCAATGTGGCCTTATTTAGGAAGGTATGTTTGCGTCTCGCTTATTCAAACAATGACTCAAAGCAATTATTTCTGAGGGGAAAAAAAAACCTCTCCCTATAATCCAGAAACCGTGGTCAGGATAGGATCAACAGACACCCAAAGAACTGTACTGGTATGAGACAGGGAGAGGGCTGGTGTTAGGGCCTCCTGTAGTTTATCTTTGGAACCCAGCTAATGTCATTTATAAACGGGGTGACAGAGGCCAAGTCCCTGGGCATCCCTTAGTTTCATTGTCTAAATATGCAACTTATATTGGTGCCCACCTCATAGTGGTGTTGGGAGTTTAAACAAGTCAATGCGTTTCATCA